GTGTGTGTTTGTGTGTGTGTGTGTATGCATTCATGTGCCATGGAATACATATACAGATTAGAGAAGAACTTTCAGGAGTTGGTTCTCTTCACCATGTGGGTTCCAGGATCAAACTTGGGTCATTAGGCTTGGCAGCAAGCTCCTTTCCCACTGAGCCATCTTGCCAGCCCCAATTTCTTCTTCTTTTTTCTTTTTTTTTTTTTTTTTTTGAATTTTTTTTTCTTTTTTTTTTTTTTTTTGAGACAGGATTTTACTTTGTCTCACATTCCAGATCAGCTGGGCTAGTAAGAGCTTGTCTCAATAAAACAAAAGCAAGCAAACAAGTCTTACATATAACAAATAATGTATCAACTATTTTCAAGAGGCTATTAATAGCCCAAGATCTAAATTTGCTTTTAGCACCATAGCATCCTCTTGTCTGTAGGAATTTAACAATCCCAGGCTCCTCACCTGGGTCAGAAGTCCATTCCCTCACAACACTGAATGTCACAGTGAAAGAGGCCCATGGTGCTGGCCATCCATTAGTCTACCCCTCTAGCCTAAAGGTACCGTTAAATTCCGGTCCTGCCTGTACAGGACCCAGCATGTGCCATGTCCAGAAGGAAATTCCAATTCAGAATGACACACACCAAAGACATAATGAGTGTCCTGCTGTTTTCACGCAGTGATAAGTCTTTTTAGGTAAACACATTCATGCACATATTGCTGGGAATGAAGAAATGATGCATGTTGTGTTTAGTTGTGAACTTAAGAGAAGTTATTAGTTCCATCATTCAACATTTAGCACATCATTAACGAGTGCTAGCTGCAAAAGTCCCTGGTCCCAGTTCGAAAGGGAAAGTGGTAAGCAGCCACAGTGTACCCCTTCTGTTCCTAGAAAGCTGTAGACTAAGGATCCTGGGGACCTCAGCTTTGAGTTCCACACAATCCTCTATTCTGACTCTGTGTTTCTTCTCACAGATGGGATCCTGGCTGTCTAAGCCAGGACAGGTGTTGATAGCAGTCTTAGGCCAGTGTGAAGATTCACAAGTCTGCATGATTAGCCATAACAAAGGGCGTTGCAAAGGTGTTTGTGGTTTTGAAAACCTTGAAGGGACAGCAAGAACTTTTGTCCTTGACAAATGCCTCTTAGGAAGAAAAAACAACAACAACAACTTGGATTTAAAGAAAGTGATATTAATTCTAGAGCTTTATGTGAAATAATGTCTTTCATTTTTTCAGATGAAAGAGTGAAATAGAAACAAGGACTTAATATTAGGTTGAATTAGCAGGAAAGCAGCAGTTGTGTTCAATCAGCAGTGGAATTACAGGTCTTAGCTATGAGCTTACAGCCCTCTGTGAAGTATCAGGTGGGTATAATTTCTTTAGTGTGTCTTGAGATAAGGGAAGGGTGTAGTAGCAAACTCAAACCTGTAATTAGAGAGAGAGAGCAGATACCCACATCCAGTAACAGTGATCACTTCACGGTGCAGCCCCTGTGCCATGCACAGTTCCTGATACCTTTTCTATGGTTCTTAAAAGTCTGGCTTTTATTACTCTCTCTGTGTGGGGACTAACCCATGAATCGTTGAAACTAAGGAACCTAGACGTTTCTCAGCTCGTCAGGCTGGTGTAAAGTAGGTCTGCTCTCAAGATGAAACAAAACCGTACTTGGCTTGAATCTAAACACAGTGCGGCTGCTCTGCTCTGCTGCCAAACTAGCTCTGGCAGGTCACCAGGAAGAAAGTTTCAAAGACAAGAGACAAAGCCCCTTGACCCTCTATGCTGCTATTTCTGTGAGACTGGCTTCAGCTCCGATGCCGGCTGGTGTCCTGGTGAAGTGTCACACTAAGTGTGGTCACTGCCAGACTATCATCACATCCAGATTGCTGTCTGTGAGGAAAGCCCCAGGGCCCTGGGAGTAGATTATGGTTCCAGCAGAACGTAAAAACATGCATGACCCTCCTTTTAAATAAGACAGATGATACAGGACTCCGAATTCCAGAGGCCCAGCCTTTTGGCTGAGAATATAGTCAAAATTAGTTATACTCAAATTTGACCATAAATGGTCCTGGGCCACTTGCTTGCTTTTAAAAACCATATGTGGGGCATGGGAAGATGTCTCAGTGACTAACGTACTTGTCACATAAGCATGAGGACTCAAGTTTGAATCCCTGGCACCCACAATTTTAAAAAGCTAGGTGTGGTGGTATGCATCTGTTACCCCAGCACTTGGGAGATAGAGACAGGAGGATCCTTGGGATTTATTAGCTCGCCAGCCTAGCCTACTTGGTAAGCTCTAGGCCAGTGAGAGACCCCCGTCTCAAAAAGTAAGGTGGTGAGCATCTGAGAAAGATGCCTGATGTTGACTTCTGGACTTCACGTACACACACACACACACACACACACACACACACACACACACACACACACACACACACACACACACACACTTGTATTCAAACAAGGCCAAAAATCAGCCTGCCCCATCTACCTCCCTGCCGCAAGGAGTCTTTTTGGTAGGAAGCTGTAGGGCTGTTTTTCTCAGGCTCAACAACTCCCAGTAATGCCATGGCCTCCTGGAAGCCTCACTTCCAGGATCCTCTGGTACCCTCACTTAATGGTTGTATTACGTGCTGTTGCAGGGTTAGCGCCTATACCCAAGGGAAGAAGCATCTTGTGTAGGTAGAGGGCTGGCCTGGTCACTGACAGAGACCCAGGATGACATCAAGTACACCTGTGTAGTCTCAGTAGCCACAAGGCATCAGAGCCCTTGTTCCTAACCAGTTGGGCCCTTAACTGCTGGGTGCTGCCCTCTTGGATGGCTCTACATGGCATGCTACCAGGGAGACAGTGGACAAGGCCCTCTCAGGGTGCAGCCCATGTGGTTTCTACTTTATTTCTAGTTGTGTCTTTTGCAAAAAGAAGTGAGTGGACATTGAGGATTTGTGTATCGCTGTCATGGTGGCTCCATGTCCCAAGCTGGATGGAGCACTCAGGGTTCCTCCGAGGCAGTGTCGTGTGCAGTCCAGGCAGAGCAGTTACCACAGGAGTTGGGTACAGTGCAACTACCACATGGCCTTAGCTTTAAAGTCACTGTGTGTTAGCATGGGGCCTACCATACCTCTGTGATGAAAGAACTACCCTCTCACTTGTCGGTTTCCTTACATACTAACTAGAATTTGCTTCTCTTGTCCATAGAGAACTATAGAGTTATAAGAATTATAGCTACTTAAACTTGATTTTCCAGGGAGTTAGTAAGACTTTTTAGAGAGTAATTATTGTTTAAGGGAAAAAATTTATTCAAGGTCAAATAAGGGACATATTTGAGTTTCTTCTTCTTGAAAGTGTGTGCGTACCTCTCTAGTTTGTCAAGCTGCAGTGAGGATTATTCTTTATATTTCTAGAATTTGCTAGAGAATGTGTGAGGATTCTTCTTAAGTTTCTAGGCTCTGTTGTTTTCCACAGTGCTGGCAGGAAAAGAAGTCTCCATGGAAGAAGACCGTTCTTTCATGGAGACCCACATGCCTTTCCTAAGATAACTTATTCCTCAGCAGGAGCGATGCCCTCTTTGGGAAGTTCCTCTTTAGATGCCCACAACTGGGCATCCCACATAGGTCTGCTCCTCTGCTGACGCTCCTGCTGCCCTCACTGTGTTGTCTTCCCTTTCTTTCTGCTGTACAAATGAATCTCAGAGTGATGAACCACTTAACAGAGTAATCAGGGCCTAGAGAAGACAGGTGCCCCCAGGGTTTCCTCACTGTTCTGAGGGGCCGCACTTGGCTCATGGTTACCTTTCATTCTTAGCACACGTTTTTTCTAGGAATAATGCATTCCCAGGTTCTCTCTATGCAGTTAAGATTTCTCTGTTCTGGGCTGGAGAGATGGCTCAGCAATTGAGAGCACTGACTGCTCTTGCAGAAGACCCGGGTTCGATTCCCAGCACCCACATGGTGGCTATGAACCGTCCTTAACTCCAGTTCCAGGGGAATCTGAAGCCTTCTTCTGACCTCTGCCAGCATTGCATGACACGGGTGCACTCACATACATGGCAGGCAATATACTCATACACATAAAATTAAAAAAAAAAAAAGAAAGATTTCTCAGTTCTACCCCCCCTTTCCTACTTCTCGATGCCTCTGACTTTGGCATAAAATAACATGCTATGTTGTAAAGGAATAGGATAAAAATATGGGAACTTTTAGCTTTAGAAAAACCACCCATCTGAAACAAGATTGCATAGCAAACAGTGGCTATAGAGTCAAACTTTGTGTATTAACTGACTAATTAAGAATAAATAAACTCATGACATTGACTTCCTTCTAGGTCATCATAGACAATATAATTAGCCTAAGTAATTAAACTCATTTTGTGGGAGAAGTTAGCCATATATTTAGAGTAAAACATATTTTTAGGTGCTGGAGAGATAGCTCAGCAGTTAAGAGCACTGGCTGCTCTTTCAGAGTACCGGGTTTGAGTCCCAGCACCTACATGGTGGCTAACAACTCTCCTATGTGTGAAGGTTGTATTTATCTGATGCAAGGTTGTCTTCAACTATATTTTTACCTGCTTGGGCTATAATAAGTCCCCAACTGGGTGGTTTTTAAACAACAGAAATGCATTGTGTCACCATTCTGGAGGCTGAAGTCCAAGGTCAAAGTTTCACTTGTTTTCTTTTGAGGTCTCATACTGCAAAAGGTGTCCGCTCTCTTCTCATGACTTTCCTCTGTGCGCCTGTCTCTGGGGTCTTTGTCCACATTTCCTCCTTTTTCTGAAGACACTTTGTTTTCACTCTGTCACCTCTTTAAAGGGCTTTTCTCCAAATTCAGCCACATTCTTAGGTGCTGCCATAGGGTTTCAGCATATGAAGACACAGTCGAGGGGAACACAAGTGAGCTCTTTAAAGTATGACATTAATATTGTGGTTGATGTGAAGTTCAAGCATTTACAGTTCCATATGAGCTACACCGGGTCCTGTGCATGCTGTTGTCAGCATCTGTGCTGGATTTCTGTTTTGGCAGGCCTGGCAGCTGAGGTTCAGCCACCTTGTGGGGTACGGTGCCAAATACTATTCCTACCTGATGTCCAGGGCTGTAGCATCTATGGTTTGGAAGGACTGCTTCCTACAGGACCCTTTGAACAGGTAACAAGGGTGGGATGGGGCAGTTCATAGACGATCCTCTCCTTCATCCATGGAACTCCTCCACTGCATCCCCCACATGTCAGGGGCTCAGAACCCCGTGACCCTCACCCCGTGTCAGCAGCTCAGAACCCCGTGACCCTCACCCTAAGTTAGCGGCTCAGAACCCCATGACCCTCACCCTGTGTCAGCGGCTCAAACACCGTGACCCTCACCCCGTGTCAGCAGCCCAGAGCCCTGTGACCCTCACCCCCTGTCAGCATCTCAGAACTCTGTGACTTTCAGCCAGTGTCAGCAGCTCAGAATCCTGTGACCTTCATCCCGTGTCAGCGGCTCAGAGCCTTGTGACCCTCATCCCATGTCAGCGGCTCAGAGCCCTGTGACCCTCATCCCGTGTCAGCGGCTCAGAGCCCTGTGACCCTCATCCCGTGTCAGCAGCTCAGAGCCCTGTGACCCTCATCCCGTGCAGCGGCTCAGAGCCCTGTGACCCTCATCCTGTGTCAGCGGCTCAGAGCCCTGTGATCCTTATCCCGTGTCAGTGCCTCAGAATCCTGTGACCCTCACAGGGAGTGGGAGCATTGTGAGCAGTGTTTTCTTTGTCTCCCTCCAGGGAGCCCTTCTGCCTTCTGACGTGACCTTGAACTTCTGCCTTACTCCCCAGCTCTGGGCTCTGGACTTGCCTGGTGATGAAGCAGGGCTTCCTGTGTGAGGGTCCCTTGCATCTCACAAAGTGGCTCTGCGTTGCCACTGCTTTCCATGCAGCCCCACAGCCAGCTCTCTTGTCCCCAGCACTTTGGGTGACTTTCGCAGGCATCCTTGTGTTGGGCCAGGTGTCTGGAATGAGATACCCATGAACACCCTCTACCCTCTTCCCTGTCCAACCCAGGATTTGCTTCTCTTACCCTCCTAGAGCTACAGCAGTGGGGAACCTGCCATTAACACCCTGTATTTTTTTTGTTTTTTTGTTTTTTTCTGAAAATTGACCTTCCTGCCTTTGAACTCTTTCTCCCAGTAACTTCCCCATGTGGAAAAATGGGCAGTCTGGAGAAGGGGGGGCTGCCCTCCTGTTTACCTCAACTCATTGCCTTCCTGGTGTCATTCAGTGCTTCCTGATGAATGCAGATGGCTGTGAACTCCTCCCCACGTGGTTCTGTGCCATCTGGTCTGAGAAGGGGGTCCATGCCTCCCTCATCAAGATGATCAGTGGTTTAGACAGCAGCTTTGACAGTTTTGCTATAACTGTTCATGCAGTGAATGGACCACTTTTACAAACCCATGTCATTGGATTAGCAGTGAATGTGGCCCCTGTAGTGACTCAGTGGGAACAGGTGACTGCAGCTAGGAATACACCATGCCCACCCCTTCCCAGAACATAGCCAGAACTGGCCCTGGAGACAAGAGAGGAAAGGGCATTCAGGGTCTGGGGCTGGCAGTCCTGTCTTCCCAGCCGCTTGGCCAGGCTAGCGCAGATGGAGAGGTGCAGGGCATCTTAATGTTGAAACCCCACCTGACTTCTTCCTTGTGTCCTTACAGGACCCTGTAACAACAGGAACTGAGAAGAAGTCAGGTTCTGGCCTCAAGATGCCTTAGAAGCCACTTCCTTTGAAAAGCAAACCAGTAATTATAGTCTGATGTCATAGTTCCTTAAAGCACTTTGTCTCCTCACCGCCCAAATGAGACATCTTCAACACTTCTCAGTCAGTTCCAAGAGATGGCTGCTATCTTTGCATCTGTACTGCGGTTCTCTCTCTCTCTCTCTCTCTCTCTCTCTCTCTCTCTCTCTCTCTTTCCTATGTACAGAAGAAATGTGATTTCTCTGCTCCCTGGTGGCTCTCTTGTGCTGTAGAGGCCACATGCAGCCTTCTAGCAGCTAGGCAGAACCCACCTTCTTAAGAGTACACTGAGGCTCACAGAGGGTGAGTGATGGGTGGCAGACCAACTAAGATGATCCTGTGGGTCCCCACTTTCTTGTCCCTGCCTGCTCCCTGCACACCCCTCAGCCTTTCCTACAGTTTCTCAGATTCAGATTTTCTCAGAAGTTAATGATCACATTTAGTTCTAAAATCTTTTCAACTTTGATTTGATGTCATAAAATGTTTTCATGTTTTACAGCTTGGTACCCATATGTTATTTTGTCTTTTGCCCTCTGCAGACTGCAGACATTTGGTCTGCTTTTCAGATTTTTTTATTTCCAAAGGTTCTACAGCCAAATTTGACTGCAGTAAATCAGTTTTAGAGATGGCAGCTCCTTACTTGAGATTTCTATAAAATGGGCAAAACATCATCTTGTTTGAAGGAACTATACTTTACTAGAAAACCACATGCTATTAAAAACATAACTCCAAATATTTATATCTTGGTTATATGTGCATTCTTGCCTAGACATGTAGTTGCCACACTTTTTATGATCATGTAAAAGTTAGCTAGTAAAAGTGCTCTCTGGGCTAGGAAATTCCTAACCTCTGTCAAAGAGTCCTTTTTTCTTTTTCTTCTTGTGTTTGGATTTTTGAGACAAGGCTGCACTGTGTAGCCCAGGCTGCCCTGGACTCACTACTCTCCTTCCTTAGCCTCCTGAGTGCTCAGGCTCAGAGGTCTGCAGTAAAGTTCATCTGACCAAGAGCTAGAGTGTGGGACTCCATTGGGGCACAGGACTTGCAGAGTAGAGGCATGCCAGAAAGAGGCCCAAAGGAGGGTTTTGATTTAGGGGAAGGGGTGCTATCTCCCATGGCCAGGAGAAGGGACCCTGACTCCCCAGGCCAGGAGTAGGGCAGAGCCGCTCCACATTCTACTCTGAGAAAGCCCTGACTCTGTGAGTTTCCTTAGCTCTCACTTTAAGATTACTGACATGGTCACCGTTTGATGCCAGCATGCTTTTAGTACTGTAATGCTATCAAATAATCCAATTACGGACTGTAATCCCAGTGCAGGAGAGGTGTAAACAGATGCATCCCTAGAGCTCATTGGCCAACCAGTCTAGCTGAATCAGTGAGCTCTAGATTCAATGGGAGACCATATCTCAAAAAGTAAGATGGAGAATGACTGAGCAAAACACCCAATTTCAAGTTCTGGCCTACACACATGCACATGCTGATCTACAGGTGTATGTGGATATACGCACATGGGTGTGCATTCATACCCATACAAAAGTCCAGTTAGAAACAGAATTGCCTATTATACAAAAAGATATTCTAGAACCAGCGGAATGAAAATAATATCTTTATAACTCAGGGTTAGATGTGTTTCTTAGTGGTACAACACTTGCCTCGCATGCACAAGGCCCTGGGTTTATCAGCACCACAAGAAACAATTGTCTAATCTCATTACATTATGTAGTCAGTTATATTAAAAGAATTATATTTTGCATAAAATATAAAAATAATATTAAATATCTGTTTTGAGGTGCTGCTAATATGGAGAATTTCTGTCTATAAAATGTCTGCAGAACAGGACATGGTGGGTCACACCTATAATCCCTGCACTTATGAGGCTCAGGCAGGAGGCTCATGAGTATGAAGTCAGCCTGGGTTTCACAGGGAGACACTGTCTCAAAAGTCTCCAAAGCCTGTCTTAGCATAGACAGTGTTCTCCAGGGCCCTATGGGTGCACCTACTAATGAAGAATACAGAGGAGGAGAGCAAGCTTTGTTTCCTCCCTTGTCACCAGCATGCACAGGGTCCAGCCCTCAAGCCTGTGAGCCATTGCCTGAGCCAAAATGCAGGACTGCACCTTCCTTTTCTGAAAGTAAAGACTAGCCTAAGTCATCTCACCCTTCCCTTTAGAATAACCCTAAAAATGACACTGAATAGGATACCATCTTTTCTAACACAGAAATGAAGTTATCCTTTCTATTGAGAAAGGCTGCTTGCTAACAAAATAGAAAGCTGAAAACACAGTTCGCCTCATGTTAAGAAAATCACACTTGGGCTGGAGAGATGGCTCAGCGGTTAAGAGCACTGACTGCTCTTGCAGAGGACCTGGGTTCGATTCCCAGCACCCACATGGCGACTACGAACCATCTTTAACTCCAGTACCAGGGGAATCCAAAGCCCTGAAATCACACTTGGGGGGCTGGAGAGATGGCTCAGTGGTTAAAAACACTGGCTGTTCTTTGCAGAAGACCTGGCACCCACATGGCAGCTAACAACTGTCCATAACTCCATTTCCAGGGGATCTGACAGCCTCTTCTGTCCTCCACGGGCATTGAATGACACGGGTGCACTTACCTACATGCAGGCAATTCACATATAAAATAAAAATAATATTTTTTAAAAAAAGAAATCACACATGGTTTTATTGTAGAATCATTGAAAAACCAGACATAAAAAATATCTGTCTCAAACTGGCAGCTTCTGCATGACTTCTTTTGAGGCACACAAGACATGCGGTTGGAACCGAGAATACCATGTGAGCAGGTGTGGGTAACAGAATCTCTTTCTCCTTAGAGCCGCCGGGGAGCGCTACCGCAGAGAGATGTTGGCCCATGGTGGGGGCAAGGAGCCCATGCTCATGGTTCAAGGTAAAGCACCGCCCATTCTGCTGCCTCTACTGGGACTCGGGGTTTGTTTCTAAGGTTTTATGGGCTACATGATATGGTGTCAGCTTTCAGAATGTTAGTAATACTATAGTAGGAAATGGTACTTTTGTCATAAATTCCCAGAAAATTTGCCTTTGGCTTTTAGTAGGGCACAGAGGTTTTGTTTTGTTTTGTTTTGTTATTGTTTTAGTTTAAGAATTCATGCATTTATTTATTCTTTTTTTTCTTCTGAGAAATTTTAAGGCTTAAGATTAGAAATTTGATCTGTTGAAAAATTAGAACCTAGGAGCTGGAGAGTTGGCTCAGCGGTTAAGAGCACTGGCTGCTCTTGCAGAGGACCCAGGTTTGATTCCCAGCATCCACATAAGGGCTAACAACTGTCTGTAACTACAGTTCCAGGGGAATCCAACACTCTCTTCTAACTCATCAGACATTGCACAACATGGGTACTTTTACACACATGCAGACAATACGTATCCTCATACACATTAAAATAAAAATAATAAAATATTTTTTAAAAATAAAAAAATTAGAACCTAATTAAATTGTTTTGCAGTATCACAATGCTTGTTTTCCTTTATACAAATATTGTATTGAAAATTTCATTGTAAGTGGAAATGACCATCATGCAATTTCATGGAATGTCCTCACAAATATTTATAGAAAGATGTGACTATTACTAGATATTCTCAATATATCAACAGATATTTTATAACTAAACCTTTTGACTGTCTCCATCTAGGAAATGACTCCCAATGTTGGGAAAGTATTGTTTTCATTATAATAATTAAGTGGATCATGGTGGTAACTGGTCTGATGTGTCTGCTTGCCTATTTCTGTTGATCTAAGGCCAGATCCTTGCCTCCAATCCTTCAAGCATTCTTCAGATGTATAATGATGGTGATTGTGTGCCAGACCTGATTATAAGCACCAGAGGTGGAGCAATGAAAGATGCTCAGACAAACCTTGCTCTTGAGGAGTCTGCATTCATTTGATGAGCTTTTCTGGGTCGGATGGCTGAAGTGCTCATCCATGCTCCCTCTGCTTGTCGCCCAGTGACCCCTCAGAATTATGCAGTATGCGTCAGCTGAGAATAGAGAAGCTGTGCCAGTTCCTTTCTCAAGGAGGTCATTTCTGTTGGATGTGACATTTGTGCTGACATTGGCCTTGTTGAAGCCAGGTTATAGATACTGTTTACATGTGAATTTTAATTTCCACATTTTTCCCTCACAGGAGAAAACTTCAGTCTATGTTTTTCTTTTGGCTGGTGTAATTTTCCCTCTGCTTCTGACTGTGGAGCATCCACCATGCTATAAATTCTCTTTAACTTAATATTTTCTACACTCAAATTCACATATTCATGAGAGAAAAGCAAGTCCATAGATTAGGCCAGAGGTGCTTTTACACTAATGTTTTCCTTAATGGGGGAATCTGCAGAGAGGTCATGATGCCTGTTGTTACTCAAGAGTTAGATTCATAAGGCAGGACCTAAGTGTTTTCTCATCATCTTGTCTGCCACCAGCCTGCACCAAAGCCGGAGGGTAAGAGGTGATAGCACTGAGCCTTAATTTTGGGGCATCCCTAGATGTGACTAATGAAATTGCTGAGATTTGTGATAGAAAAGCATATTTCATCTAGTTGTCTATACTTTCCCATTAAAATATAACTTTTCTGTGGCTGGAGAGATGATCAGTTAAGAACACTGGCTGCTCTTTCAAAGTACCCAGGTTTGATTCCCAGCACCCACATGGCATCTAACAACCATCCATAACTCCAGTTCCATGGGATCCAATGCCCTCTTCTGACCTCTGTGGGTCCTGAAGGACATGCATTCACTTATACACATGCAGGCAATACGTGCACTCATATACATAATATAAAAATAAATATTTTTTAAAATGTAACTTTTCTTGGGTACTTTATATATTCAACTGCTGCTAAATAAATATTAGGAATTAGGTACCAGAAGACAGATAGCATACCTGTTTGCAAACTTTTTACCTCTGACCAAACCTCAGCCCTGCTGGCCTGAAGAAGGCAAAAGAAGGCATGGATTTCAAGTGCACCCCACTCCATCTCTCAGGGGCCTCAGGCCTCCCCTGTGTGTCCTCGGAGTCTGAGTCGTGCACCTTTGGAGAAGTCAGAGACAGCATTTGATTTCTGAGCAATAAACACTGGTCTTAAAAAGCAGGTTTGCTTTAGTTGCTTAACTTTTCCACAGTGAGCCATTGCGTGGCAACTCTGCTCAGTTCTTCCACTTTGGAACCCTGCTACCATTTTCTGTTCCTCTCGATGGGCAAGTCTCCGTAGCCATGACATCACCCAGAAATGCCCACCTTTTCTCACTCATTTGCCCCATGCTCATCAGTGAAAGGCCACTGCTACACAGTGACATGTCTGCTCAGAACCCCCAGCTGCAAAGTGTCAGCTCCCCCATTTCTTTTCCTAACTCTTCACCCAGGGGTCCTCTCAGGAAACAGCACTCTCCCTCCCATTAATAATGGTGAAAACAGTGTTCCCTTTCACAGAGAAGAAAAGTGACAGAATAGAATTGGGGTTTTCATTCCCAGTTCTGCCAGTTTCTTGTCCAAGGCAGTCTCCTTAGCTGAGGAAAGCCTAATCTGACTTAAAACCCTTCTCTTCTCCTATTTTTGCTCCATCTCTGAAGGGGGTATACACACACATGGCAATGAAAAGCCAGAGTTGCAGTCAGGCCTTGTGGATTTTTAAATGTATTCTAATAGCTACAAAGAACTGTGTCATACGCTCAGCATTTGGAGTTGTGGCCCCGACAGCGTGCAGTGCCTGGCTAAATCCCCTTCCATTTATCTAGATTCTGGGTGAGGCTCAGCCCTCTCTGTTCAGTGTGACTGAAGGTTTTGGCTGCGTCTCCTCTACCCCACCACATTTCTGGGCTTACATTAAGTATTATATTTCTGAGTAACAAGAGACCTTAAAACTTTTGCCTGAAATAAACCATGATGATATGGCATTTTCATTCATTTTGCCATTTTATAAAATCCATACTGGAATGTTTTTTCTTAAGTTGTGCTGTGGTGAGCAGGAACAAAGGTTCAGTTTCCATTACCATTATTTTAGACCGTGTATAGTTTCTAGAAAGATAAATACATCCTGAGCTGATGAGCAGAGCAGACATTCTGTCCATTCAGAGCTGATGTGTCTCACTTGCCCAGGTAGAAGAGTATTCATGGGATCTGGGGAGAGAAAACTGTTGGAGCAGTTTATGAGTAGCAGGACCCCTCAAGCAGGCTAGCACCCCTTCCTAGCAAGGTACTTTGTCCTTCCGTGCTATTTTTTATGTAGCTCTTGGGCAGGTGACCCATGTTGAGTTTGGGGCTTTTAGGTTTTACTTCTCAGTGGCCAGAAGAAAACTGTCAGAGCAGTTGCCACATACCTAGGGTTTTCTGCTGTGTTACCTCCTTTAGTTCCCTATAACACATGGATCCCTGGTTTTTATAAATGATGAAATATAGCCACCCTTCCACTGCTGCCTCACTCGCTAGAATTCTGATCCAAGATTGATCCGTGGACCATGAGTAGCATGTAAGGGATACAAACCTCTAGGTCTTTTGGCTCCCTACTGTCCCCAAGTCATTGTCTTGTCTGGTTTTTTTGTTGTTGTTGTTGCTTGTTGTTTTTTTTCTGTTTTGCCACCCAGCCATTCCCATGACTGGTCAGAGTCTCACCTGGCACCTCAATCAATAGTGAACTCCGATTTTCTTCCTCCCGCTTTCTTTGAGCTCTTTGGACTTCTGTGGCAAAACTGCCCACTCTACCACTTGTGACCCTGGTGAAAGATTCTCCCCACAGCCCTGGCCCCTACAACTCCTCTGCTTTCCCCATAGTCCCTTCTACAAAACAAAGCAAAGCAAAACAAAAAACAGGCTTAGCTTTATTTTTGTGTCTCTCTGGCCAAGAGCAGTTTGCTAGTAGAGATAGGAAGTTATAACTGACAATGTTCTAAAAGGACTAAAGATCAGATAAGAGGAAAAATGAGAGATAAATGAATCAATTCTCAGGAAACTGAAACTCCTTTCCCAAGTGACTCACAGAACCAAGGTCTAGAAGCCCACAAGGCCTTCCTTTAAGCTTATTAAAATCAATCACTACATTTCTGCAGATCTTTACAGTGGCAAAAATGCATTCACTTTGCCATAATTATCCTGGATCATCTCTTCTAGCTTATTAAATATCATTTGTGCTCACAAAAACCAGAGAATTATGGTTTATACTCCACGCCCCCCCCCCCAAGATTAAAGCAAGCAGTCAATACGATATTTACTCCTTTCTTTAAAACCCTTCTTGGGGGCTGGAGAGATGGCTCAGCAGTTAAGAACACTGTTCTTGCAGAAGACCCAGGTTCGAATCTCAGCACCCACATGACAGCTAACAACTATCCATAACTCCACTTCCAGGGGATCTGACAGACTGTTCTGACCTCCGCAGGCATTGCACGACATGGGTGCACTTACCTACATGCAAGCAATACACACATACACATAAAATAAAAATAATAAACAAAATATTTTCAAACCCTTCTTGGACCCAGTTGCATGAAAGACTCCCAGCAACCAGACACTGGGTTCACAGCATCTTTCCTGATATAGAACCAGCGCTCTTGAGGAAATGGCCAATTCTAGGCCGGAGCAGAGAAGACTTCTGAGATGAGCTAGGAGCATTTCTCAGTGCCAGATAAGGAGAATGTGCCCAGACACAAACTGAAGGTAAACCAGTGTGTCAGGCCATGGGCACCTGCTGACAGAGCTCCTAGTGGCCACAGCAGGAATCTGCAACCAGATCAGTAGCACAGTGCTGGGGTCCAACCTAGAGCATCGAATATAAATCCACGTGTCCACAGACACAGATGCTGGAATGAGTGAGTGGCAGAACAGAGTCCTTGTGGAGAGGAATTCTAGATCACGTGGATAGCTTCTCTTTCAAGAACTAGCATACACCCCTCC